GCCCACTGATAAGTATGACTGAAGAAATGCATGGCCATGCTGAGATGAGTTTAGACATCTGTTCTCATCAGTCAGACTTGTTAATCAGTAAATAACTTAATGGCTACAAGTTGGATATTTTATATCCCTTGCACTAAGTTAAGACATTGGGACAAAAGGATCTACGTTATACAAAGTCTTAGTCGTAGAAAGGTTTTGACGGAGCAAACGTCTAAACTTATAATCTGGGGGGTGTTGCTAGATACCGCTTATTATTTATAGTATTGATGTAGAGTCAATACTCTGGCCAGTTTTATAAGTGCCTATATGGCTCACACACTTTGAACAATTTAAAGAGTAAGATTATAAGAAGGGATAATATTTAATTTGTATATTGTAAAATAGTAAAAATTAAATGTTCAATATAATATGTATGTATATATATTATTGTACACGCCATATATATATATATATATATATATATATATATATTTATATATTTATATATATATATATATATATATATATACATAGTACACACGCCACACACACATATATATATACTTTACTTAAAGTGTACGTGTGTATATGTATAGGTTTTGTTCAAGCCGTGTACACACATGTATATATGTTACATTATATATTATATTGTGTACAATTTTTGGAGTGTCATTTTAATTATGAAAATAATTATTTTGACAAAAATTATTTTAAAGTATATTTTATATACTTGTTTTAAAATGTTTTGGGTATTTTATTTTATATCATTAAAATTATTGATGTCAAATAAAATACACTTTAAACATTTGAGAGGAAAAGAAATTTGATTCTTCCCCCTTGATTTTTGTACCACATGTATGGGCATGACATGGCTTTGTCAGAACATGTTTGGGTGGAAAGTACATAGTACTTGTGTACTTCTCACATGTGTTTTTTGAGCATGCTTCTTCCTCTTCTTTTTCTTTATTAGTGAGCTTCGGCCAAGCAAAGAAAAAAAAGGGAGTGAAATATTTGAGTTCCCAAACATTAATATTTTGTGTAGAAAATTGATATAATATTTTCTTTAAAATATTATTGATATATTTTCTACTATTTAATATACAAGATTAATATTATCCCTCTTAAATCTTTATATTTAATATACTATTATAATCTTTACAAGCATAAAGATTATAGTAGACTCCGGAGATTGTTCGTGTGTCAAAGTTGGAGGCCGGACCCTTGAACGGCTACGTTTGCTCCTTCAACACCTTTTGCTCGACTTCTCGTTCATACCGCTTTACCGGAGAAGGTATAAGTTTCTATCTCTAGCTATAGTTTTAGTACGTATTCTTGGGCTAGTAATCACTATTGGGAGATTAAATTTTTGTATTTCCGCTGCCCTCCCAACCGTGGTTACCTTTCAGAAATGTGACTTCGTCAAGCCAGAATTCACACTTGGAAAACTTTGTGTAAAGTTTATGTTCTCGTAGTACATGGAGTACTACCTCCAGATGTTTTGCATGGTCCTCTCGATTCTTTGAGTACACAAGGATATCATCGATGAATACAACTACAAGTTGATCCAGATAGGGTCGGAATATACTATTCATGAGATCCATGAATACTGCAGAAGCATTGGTCAAACCAAAGGGCATTACCATGAACTCATAATGACCATAACGAGTACAAAACGCAGTCTTTGGGATGTCCTCTTTTTTAACAGGGATTTGATGGTATCCTGGCCGTATTCAATCTTAGAGAACACAGTGGATACTCTAAGCTGATCAAATAAGTCATTGATACAAGGTAAAGGATAACAATTTTTATTGTGACTTTGTTTAATTTATGGTAATCGATACAGAGTCTCATCAAGCCGTCCTTCTTTCTTACAAACAGAACGGGTGCTCCCTATGGGGAAACACTCGGTCGAATGAATCCTTTATCAAGAAATTCTTGTAGTTGAGCCTTCAAATCTTTCGTTTCAGCAGGAGCCATACGATAAGGAGTTGCAGATTTCGGTCCTATTCCAGGAACAAGATAGATAAAAAATTCTACTTCTCTGGAAGATGGTATACCGGAAAGTTCATTAGGGAATACGTCAGGAAAGTTATATACCGTCGGTATATCCTTCAATTCAGGGTTTCTTTTTGTGTGTCACGTACATTACACATATATGATTCACACTTCTTACGGATAAGACGCCTAGCATGTATATACGAGATGAATTCAGTGGGTTTGGGTGTTACCTTTTCTTTCACCTCTATGGATTCTCCTTTTTTGGTTTTCAGTTGTATTACTCGTTGTCGGCAATCAATAACAGCTTGATGTTCGGTAAGCCAATCCATACTAAGGATAACGTCGAACTCCTTATATAGTAATTGAACAAGATTTGCAGAGAATTGTTGTGCTTCAACAATCAACGGAGAATCTTTATATAAATGGTGTAATCTCATACTGTGTTCTAACGGGTTAGACACTAGTATAGGGTGTTTTAAGTTTTCTTTTAGTATGTCAGCTTTGTTAGGCATTGGTGCACAAATATAAGATAATGTCGATCCAGGGTCTATCAACACATGCATGACAGTATCAAATAAGGAAAACATACCTTGAATGACGTCAGGGTTTTCCTCAGCGCGTCCTTTCATTGAACAGATACAGGCAAGAGCTCGTCCTTGTTGCCGGTATTGGTTTTTAGCAAGATTTGATCCTGTTGTCGAGCGGGATGTGTAGGTAGAAATGGCTCTCCTGGATTTGTGGGACATTCCCTTCAGAAATGTCCAGGTTTTCCACATCATAAACATAAATCCTTTTTAAGCCAGTACTCTCCAAGATGATCCCTTCCACATGACTCACATGTCGGGTGCTTCTATTTCCTCGGCCTATCAACAGATGCTACTGACTGGGTTTGAACAGATTTCCCCTTCTTAGAGTATTGCGAGTTCTAGGTCCTTGGAATGGTCTTTTCCCACTTGGTGTGGAACTTGCTGGTCGACGATCACTTGGACCAACACCTTCCCTCTCCAAGTACTCCTTGCAGGAACTCAGATCTTTGTCTACTTTAGCAATCAAATCATAGGCTGCAGTAAAATCTACTATCAAAACGATGGATACATGCGCTCTGAGATTAGGTTGGATTTTTTACCTGAACTCCACAATGCGATCAGCCGTGGTACTCACCAATGTAGGTGCGAACTTGGCAAGGTGGATGAATATTTGGCAGTATTCGAGGATCGTCATAACTACTTGTTGCAGTTCAGCGAATTCCGTACGTTTCTCTTCACGGAAACATGCCGGAATGTACTCCTTTTTGAATGCCCAGTCAAAAAACGCCCAAGTTCAAGGTTTCGGCATCTCTTCGTTCTCGATTGTTCTCTTCCACCATTTGTAAGCTTCCTTACAAAGTAGTTGGGCTGCAAGTCTTGGATAGTTGTTGAGGGGTACATTTAAATATCCCAAAACACAAACGGTTTGCTCGATACAGTCCCAAGCAACTTGGGGTTCAGCCATTCGATCACCCAAAAACTCTTGAGCACCAGAAAGACGGTAAATCAGTCAATTATAAATTATAAATCTGGTTTTTGAAATTTAAACTTTAAAATCCTATTTTGGATATCAGTCAATTATAAATTAGTAAGAATATCATTTCCAAACAAAATATAATGTTTTGATAAATCCAGAACCTTGTGTGATGCATGACGGTAAGCCAGGGTGTTAACACTCGATGCTATGCCGCTCTTTGTTATGAAATATTATGATGTTCTTATTGATTATTGATTATGATAATTGAAACATGATTAAAAAAAATATCCTGATTTAATTAATGATTATGAAAATGATATTGATTTTTAAGGGTATCTAGTAGAATTCTAAGATATACCCATGTGACCAATTTAGTTACGTTAGGCCTTGCGGGTATGATTTCTAGTGGCCAGCATTAAAACGTACATACAGGATCCACAAACCAAACTTTAGTACCTACTCGTTTGGGGTTACCACCGAACCCGACGGTGACTAGTCCGCTATTCGGTTTTGAGCGTGACCCATAAGACTCTAGGATGGGTCATCGATTCTTCTGTTCTATCTTAAACTATTATAGTTTAAGAGTTTGGTTAGAAATATTTGCCTTAGACTAATTATAGTTTAAGAGCTCAATTATCAATATGAATTGGGCCGTAGATTGAGAATAGTTTAGGAGCACTGTTGGTATAATGAATATCAAATATTTAAATTGAATAACATGTGTTTGATATAAAATGATTTGATATGAATTAATACTGAATATTTGAATTGAATATTATGTGCATGATATCAAATGATTTGATTTGGAATAGAGATTTAATTTATGTGGATGTTTGATGCATTAGATATCCTTATCGAGAGTTCTACTATCGAGAGTTCAAGGTTTTTTTGGAAAAATTATTTTTTAACTTCTTTTGATCACGGGAAAATTAATATATATGAATACAGTCTAAGTTATTGGTTTTTCTATGATGTCAATGTAGAAAAATGCTCGAGTGGATCTGTCAATCGATGAGGGCAGGCTGAGGAAAGCTTTTCTCAAGAAAGCTGTTGAACGATACGCGAATTTTACGTACAATCAAAGGAACCCAACTCAATTGATGAAGAAGAAGATGGACCCGAGGCCATTTGAGCAATTGAAGAAGGTAAATTAGTAATGGTTTTCATAGGAAATCGTATCGCTATGTACAAGTAATGTTTATGAAATATATAAGTATAGGTTTGGGAAGAGGATCTGGAGTTTCTGGAGTTGAGTAAGACGAAGAAGAAGAACAGAAGGAAGGGAAGAGAGGATGGTCCTACTCTTGGGACGTATTGTGGAGGTTCAATTCCATTTTCTAAAAATATGAATCGATTGGTAAGATTTATTTGATAGAACAATAGCTTTGCACTTATTATTCGATGGACATTAAATGTAAAATTTAATGGACATTTTCATTGAAACTTGAAGGCAGAGAAGAAAGGCGGGCCTGTGCAGTTGGATGAGGTTATCATCCACACAAAGACAAAGAAGCACGACGGCAAGACTTGGGTGGATCCGGAACATGCTGAGCTACAAGTACTTTCTGTAATGCGCAAAACAGTTTTTGTTCATGTTCATAATGTTGGTGCTTTTGTCTTAAAACTTTATACTGTATTCGCTTTCTTGTGTACTTGAATTATATTGTTCTTGTTGACGTTATTCTTGTTGTTGATGTTATTGTTAATCGTGTTGTTATTATTGTTGTTGCGTTGATGGTGTTGTTGTTGTCGTATGACACTGTTTTTGTTGTTGCGTTGATGGTATTGTTGTTCTAGGGCAACTTGTTTTTGTTGTTGCGTTGATGGTGCTGTCAACACTAGGTATATGTTACGCTGTTATCGATCCGTGGTAATGTTAGTTGTTAAGTTCTTGTGTTGTTGTTCTTGACGCTATTATTATTGCGTTGTTGTTTTGTGTTATTAACTATCATATATTTTAGGCCCAATTTTTCGAACTGCGCGAGGAGGCTAAATAGAAAGGGCTGCAAGTCACCGACCAAGAAATATGGTACTCGCTAGTCAAAGGCCATAATGCAAAGAACCGCGTTCCCGGAGTTGGTGACTACGAGCGTGAAATGAGGAAGATGAATCCGTCCTCCAAACCTCTCCGTTCCAGCACGAGTAGCAACAGCGCAGCGGAGATGGCAGCACTTAAAGAGCAAAACCAAAGGCTGCAGGAACAAATTGATAATCTAACCTCGAGCTTATCGCTGACGATTTAGGAGGAGGTAGATAAGGAAGCTATATGGTGGAAACCTTCCTCGACGAGGCGATGATGATGGAACAGGAGGGGCAGGGCAGCGCGGGATTTGTTGAGACCTTTACGACCTTTGCTTCCTGCATTTTGAACACTGACACTTTAATATTCATTGTTAGAATATAATGAACTATGTTACATTCGCACATGAAGTTTTCATTAATCTAGCTTTGAATTATCAATTTGGGTGTTGAAATCTTGTTTAGAATTATGTGTGTGAAAATTGAATGTGTTTGCCCCCCATTTTAGTAGCTATTGCCTAAAAACAGGAAAATTCCGGTTCTGTGTTCAGGTTATCTGCGACGGAACCTGCCGTCGCTATTTCTATCGCAGATTTGCGTCGGACGTGTCCGTCGCTAATTCCTTCGTAGATCAGCGACGGTTCTTTAATTCCGTCGCAGATTGGGCTTGATAAAAAAATGGAAACTTCCGTTGCAGGTCGGTCGCAGATCTGCGAAGGAATTTAAATTCCGTCGCAGATTTTAAATCTGCCACAACTTTTCTGTGACGGAAAAATTTCGTTGCAGATCCGTCGCAGAATAGAAATCTGCCACGGAATTTGTCTGTTGCAGATCGGCAGTTTTCTTGTAGTGTTACTCAGCTTCACTACTGAGCGTGTAGTATGTTTAATTTGCTACACGCGGGTAAACTGAAAGAATGATGTGATTGATCCTAGTGGCACACGGGGGCAAGATCGTCGGAATTGATGTGATGGTTTTGAACTATTATTTCAAAAGGCATGAACTAATTATATTTTGTGATTCTGGTTTGTTAAGCTTCCGCAACATTGAAAACTCTGTATTATTTCTGTTATGAATATTATTTTATGATGAATAAAAGTGTTCGAAATGTTTTAAATTTTACAATTACCCTGTTTATAGTCCGAAAGGGGCTACGGAATTGGGCGGATTAGGCTGTTACAAACATCGATGGGGTTCTAGTGACACCCACCTTTGGTGAGACTAGCGGTGCCACTGTCATTTTGGGGCACTTCCGGTGCTCTGTTCGTAAAATTGATGGTTCCTACCCCCTAACCCACCCTCTAAACCCCCACCCTACCCCTCGCCCCCTGCTCCACCACCCCAATCCCGCCGTAAGTCCCCCACAAAACGTGTGGCTATTATGCATTGCATAATAGCCACACATTTTGTGGCGGTCTTATGTCGGGGTTGGGGTGGGGGCGTAGGGGCGGGGGTAGGGTGGGGGGTTTATGGGGTAGGTTAAGGGGGTAGAAATCGTCAATTTTACGAATGAAGCACCGGAAGTGCCCAAAATGACAGTGGCACCAGAGTGTCACCGTATTCCAGTGTCACTAGAACCCCACCGTACAAACATTAACTAAACATTCAAAGTATATGCCAAAATTAGTCCTGATGGGAAACTTGCAAAATTATAGGTTTGCCAAGTCGACCATATTTTTTAAAAAGGGAATTGGAATGGTTTTTGCTAAATGGATGAAAACTGATTTCGCGATTCGGGCCATTTAAGTATGATTTTTAGGCCCCGTTTGGCATCAGCGTTAGAGATTAGCATTAGCGTTTTGAAAAAGCTATCCGACGGTAGCCTTTAGCGTTAGCGTTTTCAGAATTAATCTGCACCATTAAAATTTTATCCTAAACGCTAACGCTAATCGAAAACGCTGTTACCAAACAAAGCTTTAGTAATCAACCAGTTGAGAGGTCATGACTCGCACTCATGATCACAATTGAGTTTCAATTAACTTGCAGGCCAAAAGTTGTTATTTAATAACACTTATTAAATGTAGTGGTTTAGTTGTGTAAAATAAAACTTATTAACAATCCAGTATTTTGAATTAAAGTTTTAAGAGTTTAAAATGTATGATTTGATGATTATTTTGAAGAAGCCTGCTTCGGTTGAGAGATTTGTTTTAAACAACAGACTTCAATTTTAAGGTTATCCAACTTATGAATTTAATGATTCCAAAAGGGACTTTGAAGAGGTTAGGTTGTAATTGTTGTTTGAGTGACACATTTAGTACGGATAATGAATTGATTTAATTATTAAATCAAGGTTTTGGATTCAGATCAAATTATTATTCCTAAAATTGTGATTAACTGGCCAAGTGGGTATAAAGTTTACGTGTTTGTGCGCTCATGTGTTTTTCTTAGGCTTAGGGTGAAGTCACGTTTTCTTATCTTTCTATGGTTGCTTGTGTGCTTGGTTCATGTCTGTCGCGGTTTATGTCCATGCTCTTATCTATTATCCTTTTCTAATCCTTATCTTTATTTTATTTGCATGTTTTTATCTTTATAGATTTATCTTTCAAACCTCTCATATCTCTTAGCCCTATTCCGTTCAATTTATTTTTTCTTATTCTTATTAAAATCAGATCAAATGAAACCAGATCAGATCAGATCGAATCAGATCAGATCAAAACTTATTAAAATCAGATCTCATCAAGAATTATTATTATTATTATTATTATATTATTATTATTATATTATTATTATTATTATTATTATTATCATTATTGTTATTATTGTTCTTAAAAATTAAAACGAATAAACTTTAGAAACAGGTTAAATAGAAAATTGAGAAAGTAATCCTTAATTATTAGACGTCAGAAAAATTAGTTTTAAAATACATTGACAATGTCAATATAATTCTACTTTTAAAATATATTTTTATTGCTACTTGTAATTTGAGTTTCTAAAGTATTGATCTTTTATAAGGATGAGATATTTTAATAAAAATACTATCTCTTATATATGTTGATTATCTAAATTTAATTACTTTTAAATGTATATATAAATTAAATATTTATTCTAATGTATATATGAAGTAATTATTAAAATATTAAATTAATATTCTAATTTCAAAAAAAAAAATAATCATAAAATAAAAAATATTATTACATTATAATATGAATGATTATTCTAATATATGAATTAACTAATTTTATTTTAGTAAAAAATAATCATTAAATAAAAAATATTGATTATATTATAATATGAATTAGCATTACAATTTTCAAACGTTATTATAACGTCAAATGAAATTATTGATTTGAAATTTAAATCAAATCATAATTAATCAAATCAGACCAGACCAGACCACATCAGATCAGATCAAACCAGATCAAATCAGATGCAATCAAATCAGATCAGATCAGATCCAATGAGATCAGATCAGATCAGATCTAATCAGATCAGATCAGATCCAATCAGAACTTATTAAAATCAGATCAGATCAGAAAAAATAAGTTGAACAGAACGGAGCCTTAGTTTAGTTATTCGATTTTAGTTAGTTTTTTAATTAATAAAAAGTGACAAAGTATCCTTCTTTGTGTGATCGACCCTTACATGTCGTATCTATCTATTTTAATGAATACTAATTCATAAAGGTGCATTTAAGTTTAGGAAAGTAATAAATTAATTTGTGGGTGCTACAACACGCCTAACAGCCTCTAATTGTCTCTCTCCTCGACGACGACGACGGAGCTCAATGCATCTTGGGTTGCAGAGAAGCTGGGGATTTAGCACGAAATTCTTGAGCTTTTCAAAAGCGCATTCACTGTCCCATTCGAATTTGTTTCCTCTTTTGAGAACCTTGAAAAAGGGCACACCCTTCTCAGCCGACTTGGACAAGAAGCGACCGAGGGCAGCTCATCTCCTAGTCAGGCATTGTAGCTCTTTTACCATCTGTGCGGCTCCATATCTAGTATGGTGCACACCTTTTTACGGTTCACCTCAATGCCCTATTGCGTGACGACATATCCCAAGAACTTTCCACTCGCAACCCCAAAAGTTCATTTCTTGGGGTTGAGGCATAGCTTGAACTTGCGCATAATTTGGAAAACTTGTTGAACATATTCAACATGTGTGGATGAGCTCTGGCTTTTGATGATCATGTTGTCCACATATGTTTCCATTAGCTTACCAAAGATTGGGCCAAAGATTCGGCTGACCATCGTGGTATGTGTGGTGCCACTGTTCTTCTAGCCAAACGTCATTACAAGATAACAAGAGACATTCTCTGGCCTCATGAACGTCGTTTTCTTATCATCATCCTCATGCATAAATATTTAATGATATCCACTAAGGGTGTCCGAAAATGACATGATTTTGCACCCGACGGTCTCATCAATCATTTCGTCGATATTTAGAAGCGGGAATAGATCCATTTGGCAGGCCTTGTTGACGTCAGTTTAATTTATGCACATGCAGAATGTTGCCTTTTAGGGCCAAAATGACAATTTCAAGCAAGGTTGGGGTTTTGACCTCCTTTATGTGTTCGTCTTCTAGAAACATGCTCACCTCTTTCTTTATGAATTCTCGTGTGTCCAAGCTTAGGTGCCTTTTCCTCTGCTCTACTCACAGGATGTTCAGGTCCACAGTGAGCCATTGAGGGATGATTGTCTGGTCAATCCCAAGAACCTCTTTGATAGACCATGCGAATATCTTGATGTTATCGTGGATGACTTTGAGTATCTGGTCCTTAAGCATTGGGTCTACATTTTACCCCATTCTGATGGTTTTATCACACTGATCACTGTTGATTATCTCTTCTTTCACATCCTCAACTGTATGTATGTAGATGGTTCCAGTGAGAATATAATCTAATGAGAGAACTAAGAATGTTTCTACACCGTTAGATTGAACTATTATTGCTGACTTCCAAACTAAATTAATACCTAATTAATGAGGGCAAATTAGTGAAACGGCCATTTTCATTTACTATAGCCACGATTCATGGTCTCTTTTTTGGAGAGTACTCAGATTCCTTAATTACGGTTACATTAACAATTTCTTTATCAATTAATGCCACTATTTATTTTCTATATTTCTCTTGAACCAAAATAAGAGTTGAAGTCATTTTATTAATCCTCCCCTCCATTTTTTTTCTTCCGAATTAGTACTAGGGTCTCTCAATGATTTAAGATTCTTTGCATGCTTTTAGATAAGATAAAATAATAATGTCACATTTTGTTTTTTATAACTTTTAATGTAATGTTGAAGAATGTAATTTGCACTTTTTGGTTTTATACCAACATGTAATTAGAGTAATTTTCAAAAAGATTAGATTTTGCGTGTTTTTCGAAATGGGAAGAAAATAATGGACATATCGGGTATTTTTTTCTCATTTTTTATTCACTTTACTGTTTTTACCATATTATTCGTAAAATGTCGTTACCTTATTTTTGAGGATTTTATCATTTTTTACTTGGAGTAGACATTTTTATATTCATAAGATGTCATTTTCATATTCAATTATTGCAATCTCGAAATGTCTAATCAAATGTATTGTAATGCATTCTGTGGTTGTTCACTTTTCTAGCTTCCAACAATGAAGATGTTTCTCTAGCATCCTCGAACAACCATAATGTTTCTTGAGCAATGGTAATATGTCTAAGTAATGGCATTGTAATACATTTTTGTTAGTTTATAATGCATTCTGTGTTTGTTGATAATGCATTCTGTGTTTTTGATATACTGCATGTATCAACAAATATTATGCATTCTGTATTAGGATTGAATGTGTGTATCAATTCACTTCTTGAATTGGATTTCTCATTTGATTCTCTAGAATAAAAACCCCATAGTATGCATTTTAGTGCATTATATAAAATTTTCAGTGCATTATCACGTCTTTGAAATGCATATTTAAAAAATTAAATTTAAATTGTTGCCTATGAGGTCAAATGGTAACGTGGTATGCATTACGGATGTGAGTTCGAATCCCACATAGGCAAACTCTTTCTCAAATTTGTATTTGACTTCTAATGAATACAATGCATTTTCATGCATTCTCATCACATTAAAAGTCACTAATAAATCATTATTCACTAATCATAAATTAATAAAATAAATTTTAAATACAATCTAAAGGATAAATTAAAATGCATATATCGGTCATCGCTGTGCACTCACATTAGATCGGTAATTAAAACTATCACAATGCATCTACCCAAAATAAATCCAGAAAAGTGTGATAATAAAGAATTCTTTCCTAAAATTAGATGCATTTTCCATAATACAATTCACTATTCTTAAAATTCATGCTGATCGAATCAAACTTGGAGTATTTATTATTTGGTTAAATAATCTAGTAGATAAAAGAGTGTTTATAAGTTTGACTTTTTTTAATTTTGAAGTAGGAGAAGATAATACCAAAATTTTTATTCATCAATATTGGTGTCGTTGGATAGATCTCAAAAAGAGATTTCTAACGGTATGTTATTTGTTAATGACAAATTTATATATAAAAAGTTATGTACAAAATGAACAGTGTAGTAGAATAATTAAATGAAATCAAATTAATCTAATAATTATAATCACCATTTCCTTATTTTGTGCCTAAATCACACGTTTGCCTTTTTTAATGCAACATTTGTTTACCACTTTACCCCTAAGTTCAATTCGTACCCATTATTATAGAAAATATATTATTACTTACCATTAATGCATACGTATTAGTTTTCTATATTTATGAAATTTAGATTCGTTTGATGCACTCTATCTAAGGGCCCTCATGCATTCTTATTTCTTTCACCAAGGTTCATTCTCACAGGAACCAACCCTATGTATGTATGTATGTATGTATGTATCTATATATATATATATATATATATATATATATATATATATATATATATATATATATATATATATATATATATATATATATATATATATATATATATATATATATATATATATATATATATATATATATATATATATATATATAATTTTTATTGAAAGAGAAAGAAAGAAAAAAATACAAAGGAGGGGGTTGGCTGGACCCCTACAAGGCCTGATAACTTTAACCGTCCAAATATTGAAAAAAGTCCAACAAATAGCAACAACTAAACTAGGCCCCAATGCTTTGTTTATTCCCTTATTGTCACCATATGGCTGGAAAAATGCTCTTATCTTGTGTCTGCCATCACTCAAGCTAATGTAATTCAAACAGCTGATCCCAATGTGGTGGACCTCATTAGAGCTGCTGCAGGGAATCAAAATTATGCATTCTTGTTCCAAGCTGAGAATGTTAAAGTAGTAGTGGACCATTCACGCGGGCTTAAGTAGTTAAGCAATAGACATAGGCATGGCAATAAATCATCATCAAATATGGAGGTAAACCTCTAAGTCCTCATGCCACTGCTCCCAAATCTAGGTCAATGAGCTCAAATATAGGGCAGCAGAGATTCTAGCGTGGGTCCTTCCAGCCAATGTTGAGGTGGGTAAAGTAACTCCTAGCAGTTTGGGAAGAGTACTGTGCAAAAGTTTCCCTTGAGGGTTATGGTCTTCTAAAACAAAGCATCATTTAAACAGTTTAAAGAAGGCACGAAGAATATCTCTGCTCACAGTCTCACACAAAAAAGAGACCCCTGTAACAAAACCAAAGTTATAGGGTTATATCTGGGTCCTTCAAGAGTGAAGACCAAATAGTCCCTGCAAGATGAATCCTAATAAAAAAACACAAAGTAACGCAAGAGAACAGAAATTGACCCCTGTAACAAAACCAAAGTCATTTGTCCCAAGTCCATTGTCCCTCATGAGCAGAAGGAAGTACTCCAAAGTCATATGTATATATATATATATATGTATGTGTGTGTGTATATATATATATATATATATATATATATATATATATACATACATACTCCCTCCGTCCACAAATAAAGTTTTCACATTCCTTTTATGTCCGTCCAAAAATAATCTTCCCATTTTTATTTTTGGAAATATTTTTATACCTAAAAGTCTAAATTACCCTCCCACCCACTCCCTTACCTTTTCTTTTTCTTTTTTCCTTCCCCACCCGTTTCCTTTCCGGCCGCCCACTTTTTCTTTCTTCTCTTTTTTTCTCATCTTCTCTCTTTTATTATCATCTTCTTCTTCTTCTGTCTTCTTCTTCTTCTTCTTTTCTTTCTTCTCCTTTCCTCTTCTGATTTTTTCGTGTAAAATGAGAGCCGTGAAGTAGGGATTAAAGTAAAGGTGGTCGGTGGGGCAGCAAGGTGGTGGCGGTGATCGGAGGTGATAGGGCGGTCCGATCTCCTCCTCTTCTTCTTCTTCTTCTTCAATTCCCACAGACCAACACCCAATCAGTCTTCAAATCTTCTTCTTTCTTTTATTCTTTTTTGTCCATCTTTGTCAGACCTGGGAAGTTCTATTCAGATCTGTGAAGGAGGTCAGATTGACAAATAAATTGACGGTGGTGACGGAGTACAAGCGTCGATTGATGATGGCGTGTTGGATCGGAGGGAGGAGCCCCAAGTTTCTTCCTTCTTCGTTTTTCTTTTTTTTGAAATTGAAAGAGCACGCTAGGGGGACGACAAGTAGTGTGGCGGCAGCCGGAGTTGACGTGGTAGACCATCAAGGCGGCCATTGGTGATAGTGGCGGAGCAGAAGGTTATGCACTGGGACGATACATCCGAATGTACAGATAGAAAATTGGGTGGAAAGGAAAAGAAGACAAGAGATGAGGGATGGAGGGGTATTTTAGGAAAATCAAAGGAAATTTTATGTTTTATTAAACTCCGTGCCAAGTCAAAGCGGGAACTTTAATTTTGGACGGAGGGAGTGTGTGTGTATATATATATATATATATTATATGTATGTATGTGTGTGTGTGTGTGTCTATATATATGTGTGTGTGTGTGTGTGTGTATATATATATATATATTCCTTATAAATAGGAGATCATTATTCCTTATTTTTAGTAGTAGTGATTTTCGGCCCTCCCTTCACCTAAAATTAAGAGACCAAATTGTTTTGTTCTTTTTATTCCTTACGCCAAATATTTTATATTTTAAGAAAATATTCTAGAGAAAGTTACTAGCATAATTTTTCTCTAGAACACCATTCAAAGTTTGTGTGTACGCACTAGAGGTCATATACTATTGTGGCTAAAGCTCTTGGACCAATCTCGCCAGCCACACGTTGTTATTTGTTCGTCAAGAAAGGTATATCTCTAACAATAACTCGTAGTTTTCGTTAGGGATCTTGGGTTGATCTACGTTTTGACATCAAAATTTTTATATTTCCATTGCCCCATCCATGCGTATTTCCATTCAATCAACCGCAATGATTCTACGAATGTAAGATTCAAACGTATAGGTATAAATAACGTTAGATGTCCACGTACTCACCTTGAATATGACGAAAGAACTAGGAAATATTGAACCTAGAATGGGAGCAATGGCACAACTTTGCTTCTCTTTTTCTTCTCCTCTCCCCTTCCTCGGCTTTATCCTCCATTATTCACTGCTATTTATTTTTCGATCCGAAAGAGAGAACAAGTTGACAGAGAGTCCTGAGTATGGAGGAAAGGTGAGGGTTAAGCGCATTAGAGTAGTATTTATGGTTATGGGGTTTCATACTCCGTAATTAAATAAAGTACCTCGATTAAAATACCCTTTTCAGGCCAACTTGCTTTAATTCGGATTTTTTAATTGCACTCTTGGACTCGTTTAGTCAAATCCTACACAATTGTATAATTCTTATATTTTTTTAACAAATATTTAAAATAAACTGTGGGGTCCTCTCAATAATTAATTAATTATTTTTAATTAACTAATTCTGATCGGAAAAGTTCTGGGCGTTACATCTTCAGTGAATGGAGAACCCAAATTCAGCTCTAAGCCTATGGAAGGCTTGTCTTCCTTCTGTTCTTCTACATTTTCTTGATTCCATGAGCTTCTGAATAGTAAATTCTCGAGGGTCCTTTACTGCCTCTCCATCCTTCAACGACATTGTGTTAGGGGGAGCTCCAATGGGGAGGACAAGAGTAGGATCGGCTGAGGAGGCCTAGGTCGAGTTTGAGGTCCACCAATCATGCATAGAGGTTTCTACTGTTGGAAAGAATAGTTGATTCACCATTTTCCTGGCACTGTTTTCAGTATGTCTTTTTCCGTGGTTCGTCGTTAGCGTAATATCACTTGTATTCTTTGCCATCTAGCGTTTCCTACTGTTAGTGTGTCCTTTCACGTCGATGAGATCGGACCTGCTGGTTCACGTTCCTAAGGGCTTAGATTCCCAACCTGTTACGCACCACAAACGCATAGGCGCTCAAACATTGAAGCTTCAGGAGATTGGTTAAAATCTTCTACAATGCGCCTCTTTTTTTGCCAGTATCGCGGATGTCTCGCCACCGTCGACTGCTCCTCTCGGATCTTTTCTACAGTTGTCGGTTGTTTGTGGACCTCCGATCTACTTTTTTTCATCTGGATCACTGCGGAAATTTCGTCAAGATGCAGAATGCTGCTATCATTTTGCTGCGACTCCAACAAAATCGGTTGTTGGATGTTGAGAAAGGCTAGTTATTTCACCAGGGAGATTGTAACGACCCGAAAACCGGCTTAGTAGTTAGCCATGTTTTTAATTAAAATAAATTTAATACGGAGTAATTTCTAACTCAAAAATATGAATTATTTTTAAAGTTGACCTTTTTATTTAAAAAGTTAGGTTTTTGGGTAGATCTCGTAAAATGGTGACCAACGTCGTATAGTTTGTCAAGTTTGGACTTACGTGTAAAGTGTGGTGAGTAAAATAGATGTTTTTTTTCAAAATATTTTATTTTTATTAAATAAAAGAAACATACAATTGTTGACAAGCGGGAACAAGCTCCACACTTGTTTAAAAGAAGAAATCGACAACAGTTGAACTAAAATGTGATAAGCTTATCTGATACTCCCTCCGTCCCCCTAAGATGTTCTCATTTTGAATTTTGGTGGTTTTTAAGAAGAGTTGAAAAAAGGTGAAAGTTTACCATAATACACTTAATGAAATATGGGTGGAGTGTATTAAATGAGGTGGGTGAGGTGTAATAAATAAAGTAAGTGGGGGTAGTTAAGGTATTTTAATTGTTAGAAAATAAAATGAGAAGATCTATTGTGGACAAAGAAAAAGGGCTATTGAGAAGATCTATGGGGGACGGACGGAGTATAAGAGAACATATACCTAAGTACATTTAACAAATCCAGCCAACAACATTCCACTGAAAACCATAACCTAGAACGAATCACTCCAAAAGCCTTCTCAAAGAATGACCTAAGGTCATATATGTCAGGTCAAACCTAGAAAAAATCATTCCCGGAGCCGCAACCCCCGCAAGGGTAAGGCCTAAGGTCATATAATCCAGATCATTAATGGTTAAGAGCATAATATCATAGGGCCAAGAGATGTAATCGACCGAAGTATAGTCCAATCATAATCATAAAAACTACTAAGCACATAAAAGAAGACAACACTGAAATGAAGAAGGCCAAAACTCGTGGGTGTCCAAGATATGTGTAGCCAGCCCAAAATCCAAGCAAACCCGTGTCTACATACCGCAGCCCAATCCAAGTCAGGCCCCCGTCCCAGCTAGCCAAACTGCCCAAGCCCAGCGCAGCCGTCCAAAAAAGAGCTCATACGCCAAGCCCAAAGACACAATCCGCCCGAAATCCAAATCCAAAGCTCCAAAACCAAGTGAAGTCCATGTCCAAAAAATGCAGCCGAACCCAGCCCAAGGACAAAGGCCAATCTCGGCCCAATCCAAAATGTGTAGCCCAGTCCAATCCAAATCCCAAATGAATCCACAAGTGATGAAGTCCAAGAGGATAAAATCCACGCTGATCCACTATGAAGAGTAATCCAAGAGATGACCCAAGAGAAGAAAATCCAGAGTGATGAGGTCCAAGAAGGGGTAAAGAAAAGAAAAGAAGTACCACTATGGGTCAGTGGCCAACCCTTAGCCCATTACCGCCGACAAATAGCAGGTGCTCTATCCTCACGTGCAAACACTGACGCAGGCGGTAGAAACCTCGCCGCGCATCACCTAGCCTCGCAACGAGGGCACCGATTTGATAACGGTACCACGCATACGCGCTTTCCGCGTGCGCCACGAGTGCTCTAATCCTCAGTCCGCAAGCACCGACGGGCCCCCAAATCACTGGAGCCGACGGGCACCCTTTAACCGTGGGTACATAAGTGCGCCTCTTGAATGCAAACGCGGTCGTTAAGGCACCAAGATTAGTGCAATTAGGGGTTACCCCCATCCTCATCCAAATAGAAAAAAGGCAGATCTTCCATAGAAAGGAGAGGTCGTACCCGAATATCAAGATCCTGCAGATTAGTAAACTCCTGCGTCCCCTATGTCCTATCCACGGCCCTTTTACTAACATTTATTAGTAAAATATATGTTACAGTTTAATAAATAAGTACAAAGATTTTTAATAATAAAATAATAAATTTATAAATCCCTAAGAACCTATACCTACGCAGCGTTGGTACCATTCCACCCAATCCCACCCCTTCCTTATTTATACCTACACCTACACATTAATGGAGAGAAAAGGGGGGGATCACAGATGTATTAAATATTACGGAGTATGTAGCGAAGAAAAAAACAACAATTACCGAGTACTGTGCACCGCGAAGGAAGAAAGGGAACAAAGTTGATCGTGAGAAGGAGCCTTCACCGGAAATCAGAAATTTGACCGCTACATCACCGCTGCTATCCGTCACCATCTTCTCCGTTTGTCAAACGGTTTGATTTGTCTTAATTCCTCTAACAATTAAGGTGAGTATGTGGACATCTAACGCTCGATTACATATATAGGTTTGAAATTCACGTTCATAGTTTCGTATGATTGATTATGTGATTTGTTTGATTCTATCATTAATTACGTTTTATTAAAATTATATGGTATTGTTGGAATTGATTGATCGAGGAAGACCAAGTACGTTTTCTTACTTTAAAATTGTGTGATTTGCATGATAATAATCTTCAAAAACATTATATGTATTGAGTGGTTTATAATTGGATCGACCTCTCCTAGTTATGTACGAGTTCCGACCCAGAAGGTAGCTAGGTACTGCCTCATGGTACCTTGCTACCGCCACCAGTAACGCAGCATTGCCGGTACTTGTGCTGAATGGTATGCCAGTACCGGACGACTGTACCGAGGTACCCCTTGGCAGTACCGAGGTACCGTGTCCACCCCTTTTTCGACTCGTTAATTGTTTGTTTGTCCCGATTTAAAACTCGAATTGACTCTGAGACCTTATGTGTTTCACGATGGTTACTGGGAGTTGTTTACCCCTGACACTAGACCGCTAATTGTTGACTATGAATGGCTATTTAACATGTGATCTTTTATGAATTTGGAAATATGAAATTATGAATTTGGATACGGATAGGCTACCTAGTTGAACTATAGGTAGTCCATGAAATAGAATAAGAATAGAGTTAGGAGTAGTTGGTCATGTGATGAGCCAGCGTGCATGCATGTTCAGTTGGGTAAAGCGTGCACACGAGGGTCGTAGATCTCCTTATAGATGTGAGTAGGTGGTCCCACCCAGCCGAAATTGGATGATGTCATATCGAGTGGGTCCTTCCATGGATTTGGTTGTGTCAGAACTCTATAATAAGGAATTGGCCTTAGCCTAGGATATGTTATGAGCTTAGAAATAAGGAAGTTGTTTTTGAGATAAGTTTGGTAACCTTGGTATCATGAAATATCTGATATTAATGATGTTATTGATGTTGAACATGTGTGCATGATATTGTATGAAGTTATGAGCTAGTGAGTTCGTCTTTGTGTGTAGTCGAAACGTTAGATATTTCTCACTTAGCTTCAATGCTGAGCGTGTAGCCCTTTTTCCTCTTTGCTACACGTAGGTAACACGAACAATGAATGAATAAACAATCTTGGAAGGCAGTGAGGGTGAAGAGCTAGATGAATGCTAGCAGAGAAGTTATTTAATAACTTAAATATTATATTTGAATTAATTATGTTTTTAAGGGCAAGAACCCAAGTTGTATTTTGAATTAATTACTTAACAACTTCTGTACTGTTTTTGTAAACTCCGATCAATGTTTTAAATAATTTTTTGTATTAAATGTTTTAAATTGTTTGAAAAATTATCATGTTTGGATGCTAATTTAGTAGCAACCCTTTCTCTAACTCATTGATTCGGGTTACGCGGGTTGAGGTGTTACAGAGCTCATGTGCTGTATTATCGCGTCTATAGTGGCAAGAAAGCTCCCCCTATCAATTAACGACGGTGTAGCTCCAACGACCATCGTAGCCACCAATCGTGTTTCGATTGGGACGAATAACTGGATTCTGCCATTAGTTCCAAATGCGTTCGCTTGGATTAGGAAAAATTCTTTTTCGTGACAAACAATCTCGTCGTGCAAATCTTTTGCCTTTCCGGTACGGTGCTGGATATGCTTCTAATTGATTTCCTCTCATAAATAAGAGGTGCTCGATGAGGTTGTCTGTGTGATGATGTTTTCTGAGTGTCCGATTCCTGATGTCGTGTCGCCACCGTTGGTTGCCATCCGAATCCTTTTCAAGATCGAAGGATCGCCATTGCATTTTGTTTGCTTTTTCAGAGTAGTCGTTAGAAATTTGGATTTAGAAAAGAATACATCAGCACAAAACTTGATCAGAAATCTGAATCAGTGATGAATACGTCAACAAAAATATGATCAGAAACGTCGACGCAGAGAGCAACTGGGTTTTATCCTACAAATCTCAATGAGAGCACCAATGAGGGATCACGGGGATCCTAGGGTGACAAATCACCACAAACTTGTAGGAAGTTTGGAGAGAAAGTGAATTCTTGGAGTGAATGTATGAGTATTATATTTGGATGAATTGATCTTTCCCCTCAACAATGTATTCCAGAGGGGTAGCATTTATAGACGGGGGAATCTTTCTCCCCAAGTGTCGCTATTTCTCGCGCACAGGCCACTTGGGTTCATAACTAATTTGACATATATTTATTGTTACTCGGGCTAGCCCAACAGACTGGGCCAATTGTTGATCTCTAGTATTCAAACAAGAATGAATGGCGCTCGGCCTTTGCGTTTCGCCCAGCCAATCTCACTTTGTGGCCGATCTTGGCATGTGACGGGATCTTTCTCTTTGGTCTTTGAGGTCTTCTTCCTTGAAGTAGATACCACGTTCATAGGGTATCAATCAATTCTTGTAAATGAGTATTTAGTTACTCAAAAATGAGCATTCTATTACTTGAAAATAAGTATTTAGTTCAAGTGTATCTTCGCGAAACATCATACATTCGGATAGATGATATAGATACTCGGATGATAGGTGTGGTTCACGTCATCACGCCATCCCACTCAACACCACGCCAGCTTTAGTTTTCTTTTTCCTTCATAGTCCATCACTTGACAGGAGCGTGGATCACGCCCATCATGTCTAATTTATTTTTATTTTTTAAAATATATTTAAATCTAAATAAATTATAATAAAAGTATTGAATAAATATTTCATTAAAATTCAAATTAAAAATTACATTAATAAAATGCAAAAAAATACAAATACTAGATTGATTAAAAACAACTTCTTAATTAAAAAATCAAATATCACCGCCTAAGTTGTCGGCTCCACTTCCAAGCCACTTCTTGCTAATTTTTTCCTTTTTTTTGAGAGCAGACACGCGCTCTAGAGGTGGAAAATGACCAACACTCTTAATTAAAATCTTGTACTCTTTGAGCTTGTTACGTTTGCGCTCTTGCTAAACTCTCTCATCGGCGTCTTTAATTTTCAGCCGAATCTTTTCCGACTACGCTTTGTTGAAGGTGGCCATGGAGGAGATGAGGTCATCAATAGTTGACCCTTGGGGTCCGGGCATCATTGACGATGATTCCCTCTTCGCCTTCGCCTTGTCTCTGCCGACGGGCCGTGTCAGCTCCATATGGTTCAAAATGTTGTTGTCATCTTCACTTAGCAACAAAGGGGTCCAACGAGCATTGGACACCCCGATGCTTTTATATTCCTCGGACTCTAACGTCTTGGTCTGTTTCGCCCAAGAGACCACATTCACAATGGTGTCATTTGATAATTGTAGTTTTTTGGGTAGCATACCTTCCCAACGAAGGGTTTTTTTCTCTCCGAGTGTCGTGTCTCTTGAGGAGTGCACGAAAGGAATTAGCTAATTTCTCTAACTAGGGGAAGGTTAGGACAGATTTATGAAAGTCTTCTCAAATCGAATAAATGGGAGCAATGCATAAAGGATAAATAATATCACATAGTATAAGCAAGATCTAGACCTAAGGTCAGACCATCATCTAGGTTAACTCTATTAAATTTAATTAACAGTTGGAACAATAGTATTTCAACCATTACTTACACATTTCTAGGATTCGTAATTACCCTGTTTGTGTTGAATATGACAACCCTACGACATGTAATATTTATCAATATATAGCTAATTAAATATTTCAATATTAATTAACTAAATACAACTAGAACAATTTCAAGATAGTCATTCCAAGATTAACTAAACATTCAAAGTATATTCCAAACTAGTCCGGACCTAGGGTCTGATCCCGAATGGGGGTATCTGGCCCAACAGGAATAGCGGCCCAACATGGCCCAATTCAAACCAGACCTACTCGGCTGGGCGGAATTGAAAGAAAGCAAGCTCTTAGAGGAGCTGCCGCATCGGGACATACCCACGCTCGGCCCCGAGAGAACGGGCTCAACTTCAGATCATAGTCAGCCGGCTCCTCGTCGGAAGTATGCAGAGGCCAGATCACGTGTACTCGGCCTCCGCTTGAGATGCTGCTAGACCGGGACCACAACGTATGGGAAGTTGCATGACTTGTCAAATCAAGGGGCCCACGATTGGACCCCTATGACGCCTCCGTCAGATTAGTTGTAGCCACCCTATTTGTAACCTATCTTGTATAGCCACCCTAGGGATAATCGTATGGTTGGCGCCGCCGGCCGAACGACCAGATCTTAATGGGCCTGACCCATTGGATTTTGGACCAGCGGTCTGGAAGGCCTGTTTGTAATCTGTTTATGAGCCCCTCTTCAAAGAGGGGAAAAGACATGTTCTCTTGGACACTAATATTTTCAATCTCACTTGATTCCTAACTTGAGGATTCTCGATTCTCGTTCGATACTCTTTCGCCTATTCTCCTAGGCCCCGGGTTCCATAACCCAACACATACTATGCAATATAATTAAAACAACATTATATTAAAATGGAAAACTTACAGTCTCTGAACAAGTAGAATATAAGAGATATGGAGTTGAAATCTCTAAAAACACTTCCAAACTAACTACTACTACTAAACAATAAGCGAAAGTGAGAATGAAATGCGAGAAGAGGCTCAAAGCCCTTAAATTGGATGGTTGGAATGGGGAGATCCGCGATGCTTATATAGGTTGAGAGTTGGGGGTCCAACTAATTATTTGCACATGTCCTCTGTTTCGTCGGATCCAAGCTTTGTTAGGGTGTCCAAATTGGATGCCCTAACATTGGGCTTGGGCTTTTACGCGGCTTTCATTTCTAGTTTTGGCCCAGTTTCATCCTTTTGGTCTCCCGAACATTGATTTTGACTTCCCGGAAGCTTATTTAAGCACAAAAATTGGTCCTTTGATGATTGTTTCTCCTTTTCTCAAGTATTTGAACATAAAATCGATGATTTAAGATGATTTCTTGTGGAATCCCTTTTTATGACTCTTAGAATGAAAACAAGAGTTATTCATGAAAAACACATTTTATGAGATGATTATGTACTATTTACGTGCAGTAACATTTAAAATATGAAGTTAAAGATAAGAACAAAATAGATGTATCAGTTTGGCACTGTCTTTGACGCCGCCATGGCGTCTCCAGCAATTACCTTCCTCGAGCTATGTCCTTCCCGTTCTTCTTCGATTCTTTGGCCTCTGAAGGTTTGAAACACTCATGGAGGTATAAAGGATTGCCAAGCGTCTTCTTCTCTGAATATGAAATTGTGTCCCTCCGCACCAAATTTCGACGAACACCCATCGGAAACTTCCCAAAAGGTAGACCTTCTTTGAGCTCCATTAGAGCAATTTTTGAAAAGATTGTCTTCAGTAGCTCTCCTCAGGTAACTCTACTTGACGATACACATATCCTGTTATCCTTCTCAATGGAAAATGAATTTATCCGTTTTATTTTGCGCAAGATCTGGAAAACCTTAGGGTTTGAACTAGAGGTGTTCAGATGTAAGAATGATTTCGATCCAACTATAGGTTCTCCACTTACCCCAGTGTGGAGTGGCCTTCTTGGCCTCCCAATTCATCTCTTCGAACCAAATGCTCTATTCTCCATTGGCAATTTAATAGGGACCCCCTTAAAGTTGACCATGCTACTATGATGTTGTCTTGTCCTTCTGTGGCATGAGTGTGCATTGAAATAGACTTGTCCAAGGAACTACCGAGAGGGTTTGGATTCACCTTGGCAACCTGTGCTTTCTTCAACTCATCACCTACGAAGACCTCACTGAGTTCAGCACACGATGTTAGACCTACGGTCATACAACTTGTAGGAAGGTAGGAAAATCCATTCGGTGGATGAGAAGGGATTCGAGGTTGAACCAGGTAGGGATAAGGACTTGCTTCGTGTCAAAAAGTATTGTATCCCTGATTTTCTTGTGAATGACTACACCTTTACATCTCCTGATTTTGCAACACAGAAAAAGACAATGAGAGCACATGAGACTCTCAATGAGTCCTCAGATGGCGCTCAACGACACACGGAATGCACTTCCTCTGCACAACTAGGAAATGATGATCAGCTGAATTCTAATCCTAAGCTTGAGTTTCCAGCGACTGTTTTGAACATTGAATGTACTATTGTTTTGAATACTGAATGCAATGATGTTTTGAATACTAAATGCAATGTTGTTTTGAATACTGAACGTGTTGACTTGATTGAACATCATGGTTCTCCCTTATCCCTTTGAAAAATGAAGCAGCAGTTTTGAATAAAGAACCTTTTTGTATGTCAACTGCCAATAGGGGTGTAAACGAATATTAACCAGATCGGATGTGCCATTATCAGATCCGTATCCGTTCATTTTTATTGGATGTCGAATTCGGATACGGATCTTGTCGGAAACTAAAAATCAAAACTGTATCCGCATCCGTCCGATATCGGATATATCTGTATCCGTTTCCAATTTTTAAATTTAAATTGAACAAACTTTAATTTCCAATTAAATTAAAGTTAGAATATTATTCATTCAATTGTAATTTGTTACGGAGTAATTTTTTTCTTATTTTTTTATAATTTATAGTATTCTACGGCAGCTCCATATGGTAAAAATATATACAAAATACACATACACTCATATCTTTATGTGTCTACACATATATTTTGCATATAAAAAAGTCTTATACTTTGAGATGTCAGTAGAAAAATAAAATATAATAATAAAAAATTAGGAAAAATTATATATAACGGATCGGATATACGGATAAACGATTATTTAAACGGATATCTATGTAAAGCGGATTACAAACAGATCGGATGTATGATTACCAAATCTATATCCTTTTACCAATCAGATATGCTTAATCAGATACGAATAATAACCGTTTTTAACGGATGCGTATATTTTCCGTATAAACAGATACGGATGCAGACGGTAATCGAATTTTTGGTTATGCATTTACAGCCCTAACTGCCCATGTAACCATTACCCCCACTAACCTTACTTCTCTAGGAAATGATGATAAAAATTCCGATCCAAACATCCCCACTAATGCTTTTATTATTCAAGGTTCCCCTGATACATTTGGAAATGATAAGCCCATATCTGATCCAAATGAAGTCTTGAATGTTAGAATTTTTGTTAAGAACTGGACTTTTTGGACATAAATTCGGCAGGGCCCACAAAATTATTTCTCTGAAATAAATATGGACGATTAATCTCGTAAGTGATATAAATGTTTCGACAAATTACACGCCAAAAATGGTGCTCGGGTGAATGAGAAATTAATTCTCAAAGTTGAATATGAGGGAAGAGTAAAACCCTTGTCCCACACTGATTTTTTGAACCTTTCGTATTCTCATATTTAAACTTAAGCATTTAATTGAGCTTATGTAAGGAACAAGAAAAGGACTCCTCGCGCGCCGCCGCCGCCGTCTGTCTGGCTCGGCTCGGGATGGCACGACACGTGCGTGCGTGTGTTGCGTCGTGAAAGGGAGGGGCGAGGCGCGGCGCGGCAAGTCGCGTCCGTGCCCGCTGCGTGGCTAGCTTTTTACGAGACCGAATAAAACACGCGTGTGCACTTCGTTAATAACGAAGTGACGTGAGTTAAGCATGCATGCACATGGAGGCGAAGGGTTGGGCTGTGACGCCTCGTAAACTCCATCCGGTCCAAATGAAGAGCCAATTCCCCTCCTATAAAAGGAGGGCTCGGCTGCAGGGATGAACACGCTTCAAAAATGTCTCTGAAATACGTATAGCTTTCTGACAATCTCCCGTTACCAATCATCTTCTCCGGAGATAACTTCCCGTTGTTCTCGTTCGCCGGTGCAGCGCTCTACCGCTCTAGACTCTGCACACTGCGGTTTTATCCTGGGAGGAGATTGCCCACGTTTGCCAGTGCAGGAGGCGGGCAATACTATCTTAAGGAAAGCTCCGGCGACTCCGCTTTCCTTACCTCTGTTCGAGAAACTCCCTCGACGACACCCTACCGTCCAATGTCTCTTCTCAACGATCAAGTAACGTATTGCCCAGTTCGTTCGTGTTCCTGTTTCAGCTTCATTCCGACGAGCTTCTCGAAGAATCCAATTTCTTTGTTTTATTTCCGTTGTAAAATCCGAATGTTTTATAAGTTCGGATTAATTTATTTTATTTTATTCCTGCTGTAATATTTTTTAACAATCTTAAGGTAGTATAAGTAATGGACTTCGGATTCGGCATCGCGGGTTCCCCTGGCAACAGAATGAGTTCCGAAGCTCTAAGGGAAACCTCTTCGGTTTCCATGGTGGTGCCGTCCTCACCGCTGCCCTTCGGATCAAGTGTGGGGGCTGCCACCATGACCTCCTTCTCGATGCCGAGCTCGATCTTTGGGACGGTCCCTCGACCCATTCCCGGGCTCGAAACCACGGGGGGTTACCGTCTATAGCTTCGGCCACGACGGTCAATTTCAGACCGAACGCGGGATTCAACGCACCGGTCAATCCATTCGTTGGACCTCACTGGGCATCAAATGGACCTTTTTTCCTCCATACGCCCAATGCAGTTGGGCCAATTTCAGTGCCCGCAAGTACAGTCCAAAGGCCACCGAAGTTCAATGGCACGAACTTTAAAATGTCGCAACAAAATATGACGTTCTTCTTGACCGTCCTGGGATTCACTGAGTACCTACATCAAGATCCTCCCCATCCGAACAACGGAAACGACCCCCTCGTGGCGATGGTGAACCAAGCATGGTACCATAATAACTATCTCACCATCAACTACATCCTCGAGGGGTTGGGCGAGACATTGTACCCCGTCTACGTCGAAGCAAAGCTTGCCAAGGAGCTTTGGAGCAACTTGAAAAAGAAGTATCAAGCTGAAGATGCTGGCACGAAGAAGTTCATCGTCAGGAAGATGCTGGACTACAAGACGGTCGACAACAAATCTGTTGTCGCCCAGGCTGAAGAGCTTATGGTAATCTTCAATAAATGCAATGAAGAGAAAGTAGGCGTCAGCGAGGCCTTTTAAGTGGCGGCCATCATCCACAAACTTCTCCGCTCTTGGGAAGACTTCCAAGCCGATCTCAAGCTCAAAAGAACAGAGCTAAACCTGGAGCAACTGCTCACGCAGTTGAGGATCCGAGAGGAAGGGCGTGCTAGAAGAGGTGGAGGGGCAAAGGCGAATGTGGTAGAACATCCTTCGGGCTCTTCACATGGTGGGAAGGACAAAAAGAAAATAGGTCCAAAAGGTGGTGTTTCTAAATTTGCAGGGAAGTGCTATTATTGTGGCATTACCGGGCATCATTCCTCTCATTGTAGGAAAAAGAAGCCACAAAAGAACAAGAAGAAAACCACTGAAGCCATGTGCACAGAGCTCGACAACTTGGACCTCTGCGCAGTCGTCACCAAGGTGAATCTCGCGGGTCAAACCCGAGGGAATAGTTTGTGGACATAGGGGCCACACGCCATATTTGCTCCAATGGGAGCATGTTTCACGAATTCCAAGAGACCTCCGGTGACAAGGTCTTGATAGGCAACTCGGCCCAATCAGAGGTTCAAGGGGTTGGTAAGATTAAGCTCAAAATGACCTCCGGCAAGGAGCTAACTCTTAACGACATGGTCTATGTGCTAGACATTCGCAAGAATTTAGTGTCAGGGTATCATTGCTGATCAAACACGACTTTCGGATGGTGTTTGAATTAGATAAGCTAATCTTGTCCAAGAAGGGAATTTTTATAGGAAAAGGTTATGTTGTTGTATTTTATTTACTCGCAAGTGCACGAACCGTACGAAAGTATAGCAACGCAAATACGAGGTCGATCCCACAGGGACTTGATTATGTGAAGAATTTTATTCTAGATTCAATTGAATATTTCTAATCTAGTTGGACAAAGTTTACTATTAAAAAAAACAACTAAATATGAAAGTGAATAATTTTAAAGAAAACTTAAATTAAACAAAAACTAAAGATTTTACTAACTACTAAAAATTAAGAGATTAAAAAATAAGTTTTCAAATATGAGAAAGAACTAGGACTTGGAATCCACTTATACATTCAAATGTAATTTTTACTGAATCATTATTTTTTCCAAACTTAATACACATGATAATCTCGCAACCAAGTCTCGTTACCATGGAGGATATGTCAATTAAGCTCTAAAAAAACAATTTCTATAGTTTGCTATTTTTCAAAGTTTTAAGAGGAATTCAAATCATTAATTGTATCTCAACA